CTTTACAAAAGTTGCATATGATATAAATTGGTCTGTAAGTTTTTATCTCACTTGTATCTTTTTTTTCGACATTTTCCATATTGATGGTAATACAGTTGATGTTTTCAGGCATATATTGATGAGAGTTGTTAGTGGTTCAACCAGAGCTTTGGCACAATCTTCAATGATGAATGCTGGAATATGATCAGGTCCCGCAGTAAACTCAGGTTTTAATTTTTTTAGGGCATGGTAAACATCTTCAATACTGAAGTTTTTGATTACTAGGCTGGGAATATCACTACCGTTGTTCGCTTGGTCACTTGATATTGACACTATAAAAGAACCACTGAAGAAATCTGAAAATCCACCAAGAATATCCGCGGGATTATCGAGTCGCTTGCCTTCACGTAATATTTTATCTCCGATTGCATACATTTTGACTTGTTAATAAATGACCAAAACTTATTGGGGGTATAAATTCAATCTTCATATGAAAGTAGTTATTTCGATAGAGCTTTTTCTTCCAGTTTGTGCCTGAAAGTTACTTCTTTCCTCGATCTACATATCTTTGTGAAGAGTGTATTTTGAATTTGATTGCTTTCTTTTTTTTTCAGGGATTTCAAATCAGTTTATATCATATTAGACAATAGAAGTCCGAACCAATGAAATTTGTGGAATATTATTATACAAACTATATATGTTATAACTGAAAGATGGTCGATATAGAGTGGTTCGAAGGGGCGGAGGGAAAAGTAACCCTTTAAACCTAAAATTTAATCTTATTTTTTCAGACAAATATGATGAATATTTGATAATAATGTTCATGTGTTACTCTGTTCAAGTTCAGTTCAAGAATAAATATAAGGACTTGAAAAGGGGTGAAACTTCCTGGCGATGTACAAAAAATAACCAAAAAATGTAATGGAAAGGTATTTACGATCATGCAGTATATTTACAAAAAATTGCACCATCATATCATATTAGGTGTCAGCAAGAGAAAAGTTTTAAATTCCATTTCATTCCTTCAATGTTGTGAGATAATCATCCTGAAAATTCAGTAACAGACATGAATTATATTAGAAAAAACATTCATGCATTAGAAAATACTACACCCCATTTTTCCAGTGAAACATCTTATTTCTCTGCTATTCGATTCCACAGTGATGATGAAGTATCCCAACAATTAAAAACAGGATATAACATCTTTTGCAGTCCACTACGCCCCCACAGTTTTTACTTCTCATGATCTGATCGGATTTCATAACACCAAAACGTCGAACTAATTGATCTTGAGTTATAACCGAAATAAATCAAATTTCATAAAAAATGAAAACATCTAATGGTTTTATTCGAATCGCAGAAATTCCACAACTAATTTCATCACTGAACGTGTTAGTTAAAAGGTCAGGAATGTCCTGTTTTAATGTGAACTGCCGCTCTGCGTTTTTTAAGGGCCATAAATTTTGTAAAATTTATGGCCTCCCAATTATATTCGAATATTGCTGTTACTGACTGGCGAATTTTGGCCTCTTTAATGTCACCTTGAAAAAAATTGGAATATCGAAATTATGTTTTAGAACCAAAGGCTGGCTGCCTTGATCAGTTTTGATAGATTGCTTTTTCAAAATGTGTTTTATGAAAACGATAGAATAAATATTATATCAGGTACTTGCTCTGTCGATTACATTTTATGAAGTATGGGGCCAATCATTTTTGTAATTTTCACATAAACTAAACAAATTCAGAAAACTATGGAACTTCTTTGATTGGAGATTTGTTTATTTTGTGGAAATTCATGTTGTCATCAAGTTGTTCGTTGAGGACAATATAATTGGGATTTTTCTTTGACTTGTTTATTTCCATAGATTCCAACAAATTCATCATTTTCCCTTTTTCGGACAGCAGTCCTCTCCTAAACTAATAACCCAGTTCCCAAAAACCTACATTTTATCAAGATTTTTTTGTTATGTTCATTGATATACTGATATTAATTGAAATTATCCTAGGTATAAACAATGTAGGTATCAAATTATTTATGATAGGTATAGGCAATGTTGATGTAAATACTCAGATATGAATGTGATCTAGTTAGTTATGAAAATGGTGTAACGACCGAAACTAGTCAACAAATATAAAAATATTGTGGAAATAGACAAAAGTGTGTTTTTATAGTGTATCTTCAAAAAACTGTGGAACATGTTTTCTTAACTAGGTATTCTCGGTATAATCTTGTAGGAAAATTTATTTCAGAGAACACCTCGTTCTACAATTTATACGTATTAAATATTATATTCAATCGAATTCACTATTTGAATATATTCTTGAGTTTCGTATTGTTTGTTGAGATTGATTGAAAATAAAAATGAAAATTAAAAGATTCCAAACCAAGTTATGTCTCGACGTTTCGCTTGTTAGTATCCACAATCGTCTTCGGGTGATAACTGGACTTCCTCCGAGATCCGACTATTTCGAGTGCTTTCGCCTATCCCCTCTTCTCTCTCTCTTCGCTTCAATAATAATTCTTTCTCGGTTTTAAAGAAAACAAGTTCAATGATGGAGATCTATTCAAATCTAGTTGGTCATTCATTAGAATGTTTGAATTTTTAAGTTTATTAATTTCCATTGCTTCCAAATGACTCGGTTTCAAACCTTTATTTTCTATGTGCAAAATTTCGAACTCTTCGTTGAAGATATGATTTTCTTTTAGAATATGATTTGAATATGTTGAATTTGTTTTCTTATTGACATAGCTCCTATGATGTTCTGAATGTTCTGATGTTATGAATAAAGACAAAACATCAAAATTTGAGAAATCAGGGGTATATAAATTAAATTGTGGAACGTGCCCCAAGATATATATTGGTCAAACTGGCAGGACATTTAGGAAACGAATCCAGGAACATCATACGAGCTATGTAAATAAGAAAACAAATTCAACATATTCAAATCATGTTCTAGAAGAAAAATCATATCTACAACGAAGAGTTCCAAATTTTCACAAAGAAAATGAAGCAAAGAAAAATATGAACTTAAAAATTCAAATATTCTAATAAATTACCAATTAGATTTGAATAGATCACCATTATTGAACTTGTTTCCTTAAAAACCTAGAAAGAATTATTATTGATGTAGATGTGAGGTAATATGCTTGAGGTGACCATAACTGAACAGGTAGGTACCTTAGGTAGAGGTTTAGGAAATTTTTTCGAGGTAGTCTCAATTATGGTTACTTGTAATATATTAGTTATTTATGTATCAAGGGAATTAGGAGGGCCTTAATTACCGATGGCAAAGTTTGCTGACAGCAATTGCCTGAGGTTATTAAGGCTCATTAATTCGGCGCTCTCCCTTATTTAAAAAGTTACGGCCCTTCAAAGTTCAGAAAAGGGCAACTTTTCAGCCTTCTTTTTTACTAAATAAACTATTTAAAAACACAAGCATTTATTCACTAGGTCACCTTTACACCTTATTCCTCCTTCTTTAACACTTTTCACTTCAATAATCAACATGTTTCTTATAATATCCCGGTCAGAAATAAAAATATTAATGTAAGAACAACTTGAAGTATTCAAATTACTTGACAAGAATACTGTGCTAGCGAAACATGTGATTAATTTTTCAAATAAAGTTTGTGGAGATCAAATCATGAGGTGTAGTTTTTGAAAGTGACTTTGAGGCAAAAACTGAAAGAAAAGTCCTTTCGAAACAAATACTTTTATATTAACACTGAATTATAAAAGAATCCTTTTCTCCATTCAGTTTGTATTTCAGACAGTTGTTATGGAATTGAATCAGACACCATTCATAGTATTGCTACACAATATAGCAAATGAAAGAAGGAAAATTTCACTTACGTGGAATACTGTCATTCTCATTAATAGACGTCCGATGTGTCGACGTAAAACATTTGCCAGATCCAAATTTGGATAACATAAAAAAAACATTCATTTCATTCATAAAATTTCGACTTTATGTCACGAATGAGTTAATCTACTCATGTCATCGATGACAATACGTAATGAAATTCACTAGCTTATTTGATTAACTCCCAGCCATAGGAATCTTGTTGAAATTCATTTTTGGGAAGAGTTTTGGATTTCTACTTCTCCATCTTCATAAAAAAAGGAATCTTCCAAAAAAGGAAGGAAGCAATCAATATCAATAAGGTAACTCTATATTCATTTAACACACTGTGCACTACATCAATTGAATCAGAAATACTATATATTCATATTGGAAAGTTAAACTTATAAATTGACTTTGACCATTCCATTCTTCTACGAAAACTTGAGGACATAGGTATAAGAGGTTAATCATATGAATTATTAAAGAATTATCTAACAGACCGAGGGCAAATATTGAAATTCAAAGGGAAAACGAGTCGGAAAAAATCCATTACATGTGGAGTACCCCAAGGAACGGTACTGGGACCAATATTATTCTTTTCAATACATTTTATTTCATGATTGAGATATTTCAATGTCATTGTGAAAATGTAATATTTCAATTATTATTATTATTTATGTGTTATTTATAATGTTATTATCTGTCATATTTATGTTATCACGCACAAGTCACTTCTGTGACTTTTGTGATATTTTCTGTTTGTTCAACTAAATTCTCTATCAAATGTATATAATGATATATCTGTGAATAAACATTATTATTATTGATATTTTCATAAGGACAAATTGTTCTATTTGGATGCACCGAGATAAAAATGAAACAGTTTCACTTTGTTCCATATATTGAAGGCAAATACTCTGCAATCAAAATAGCATTCACACGGCATTACATTCAAAAACCAATATACACGTTCATCAAAGCACCCTTGGAGCAGTTTTGTTCTCAACAATAAAGCTTTAACTAACCCTCTGATTGGTCAATAACTCAGGGTGGTTACCATGGCGATACAAAAGCTGGGCCCGTTATTGGCTTGTAGAGCTTTAAGCTCCGCCCACGAGGGAAAAGTGCTCTAGCTTTACGTAACATTTCTGCATAAGTAATCTAATCCTTGTTGACAACGTTTCAGCGTGAAGTTTGATGATTTTTCCAAATGATTAATTAAAGAGTTGTTTTATCGGTTTTGCGATGGAAACTGATGCCACTTCCAGCGCCTCTAGTGACTCACACATCGGGAATTTTTGTCTTCCTTCTTCCAACTTGAATTACTATACCGACAATTTGTATTTTGCGACGAACTGCAAGCTCGACAACTACTTCGCTGGTGATAAACTTGTGAAAAGAGCGGAGACGACTAAAAAGTTGGATTTTTATAAAAAGGACGAGTACTGTGCTGTGAACGGTGTTTCGAAAGGTGTCACAAGAAGTGATGTGAGTAAAAGGGGTTTGGATTATGGAGGGTGTTTCGAGAAGAAAACGGAAGATAGCAGGAGAATGCAATTAGACTATTTCAACAATAATAATAGCAATGATGTGAAAAAGAATGGGGGGACAATTCAACTCAGTGGAGTGGATAGTTACGGCAAAAAAGCTGTTAGTTTTTCTGCCGATCAAGTAAGTGTTGACTCATTTTTATTGATCGGTATATTAATAATGAAGAGAATGTTTGATTTTTGTCGAAATAAGCATGAGGGTATGTCAGTACCTAGACTTTAAAATTACCGTTCAGTTATTTTCGTCACATGCTGAGGGCTCGGAATCATTGACTTATGTAGGTAGATCGGTTTAGAATTGTGTTCATCTGTTTTGCAATTTGAAAGTATGAGAGTTTCATGAAAATTACGAGATAATTTCAGAAGTTGGGAGACAGTGGCCAATGGAAAATCGTCCGTACATAGGTTTATAACATAAATTAATTCAATTACGAATATTATTTATTATGCATTTTCTTATGTAAGAAACAATAATTTTCAATATTATCAATTTTATTTTTCTGTCAATACGCTTTCAACTAAACCTGCAGGTTATTTTCAGATAGTACAGTCGTTTAGTGAATATTTTTTTTTTCGTAGTCCCTATTTAAAAAAAATTAAACAAACTTCACTAAGATGACCATAACTTTGAATCCAGAAGACCTTCGTGCCATACACGGTCGAAGGCCTTCGAGATGTCTAAAATAACGACATGAACTTTTCGATTGTGGTTTAGCTCTGCGATGGTGATTTCGACCAGTCTCAGTGCCTGTAGTTCAGTGGAGTGTTCTCTCTTGACTCTCTTGAAGCCGAATTGTTCGTCAGGCAGAACATTTCGGTCCTCAACTTCTTTGCAGAACGACTCTTTCAGCCAGCTTAGCCGCCGACGGAAGCAGACTGATATGGCGATAGTTCTGTGGGAACAGCAGGTTCTGACCCTGTTTTGAGACCATGACGACGATCGCATGCTTCCACCTTTTGGGGAAGTATCTGAGGGTCAACGAGCTCTTAATGATATGTAGTAGGTTTTCGACGCAGTTTTCTGAGCAAACAAAATTAATTCCAACTAGTATGAGATCTATCTGTAGTTGATTCAGTAGGATGTCCACTGCGCTACCTGCAGAGAAAGTCCGGAAATAACTACACAAACACATACTCTGGGGTGGTAGTCAGAATAATGAACATATTTCGGAGAGGTGCATATGACATGCCCAAGTTTTTCACCTGAAGACACCCCATGTATTTTAGCCATTTTTGAAAGCAGCTATTTAATTTTTGGTGAAGGCGTCGGTTGTCATAGGCCGCACTTTTCGCAATACTCTTAGCCCGAGTGACAACTTCAAACCTAGCCTATTACAATCCCGTGAAAAGAGCGAATTTTTGCTAATTTGCTTCGTGTCGGAGATACCGAAATGAGCCAATTGAAAAAGTTGCTTAGAAATCGATTTTGACCCTTGCATACCAAATTTCAACCCAAATTTCGAACATAGTTTTTTTTGGAGTTTTCATATTCAAGTCTGATTTTCAATTAATGGAATAATCAGAATCAATTAAATAAATGTATTAAGAATTGTTGAAACTCAAATTATGAAACTGACGTAATTGAGATTGACGAGTATCCATCCAAAATCAAGCAAATTCGCAACCAATCATATTCAACAGAAAATTGAAAAAATCCTTAATATTGGAGGCAATCTACTAAAGGAGACTAAATTCGCTTTCAATTCACATTTTAAAATAATGATTTTCAATTTTAGTTATTTCAATATATTCATTTCATTGATTTTGACTATTTTATTGTTTCTGTTTCGATACCACTAACTGAAAACCGGACTTGAATCTGAAAATTACAAAATCTTTCAAATGGAAGATATTGATTGCATAGGTGTCTGGTGGTTTTACTTAAGCTTTCTGCGCGGCATTATCACAAGTACAAATACATGGAGCCATTATATCTGTATTATTTCCTGGACACGGATATCACACAGGTAGCTATAGTAGCGGGTAGCTAGTATTGTTGTAAGCACAAAATCTATAAACCGAAACCATAAATGTGTGGCTGGCCTCTGCTGCATTTGTACTTCTTGTGGCAACCAAGTGTTGCTCATCCTTGCACTTGGCTGCACCATACGCCTCCTTCTTACTCTGCAGAGAAAGACAGAGGACGAATCATATCGGCGCTTTAGTTTTTGCTGTTCCTGTACAACCCTTTAGTGAAAATTATGGAATCCCATCTGAACTTGAAGTAATTTTCGGTATAGCTAATATAACCTCATTTTCCTTAATGGAATAAAATATAACTAATATATAATGGGAAACATACTTTTGGCTTTTCATTTCTCCACCATGAAAATGTGGTAAACTTCCAAAGAAAATAAGGAAGGAAACTAATAATATTTATGAAGGTTAATAGAGTATATACGGAAGATGGAAGAGAACAAAATCTAGGTTGTTAGGCCGTGGTGGAATGGAACCTGAAATACCAAGCGTTCCGTCTGCTACTGCGTCATCTTCTAAAAGTTTCTCTTTTAAATTTGAATGGATATTAATGTTGTTTATCTGTGTCCCATGTATGAATCAATTGAATTCGACTACACAGAAAAACCCAATGTGAATTGTCACTTTTATTTTCTCACTAAGTCCGTGATCCAGGAATTCTTGAGCTATTTCTTTTGAACCAGAGTCTTCTGGGATCATTCAAAATTTCACAGGCTATTTCACTTTAGTGACAGTGATAGTTTCTTCACTTATCAAACATATCCAGTCTCATCCGTTTTGAGTTCTCTAGTCGGCACTCTTTATCAGATACTTTAAAAATTTCAAGTACTTTCAACAAGTTTCGGGCTGATGTGACTGATCATGTAGGGATATTTAGCTACGGCCATTCATTTCCTCGAAGCGATGAATCAATCAAGTTTTTTAATGATATTTTTTCACCTTCAAAGCTCTGAAGTCGTCTTGTAATGATAGTATGCTCGCGGAGAATCTTGACTTCCTGTAATGTAACTAGGATGAGTTTTATAACTAAATTTTTCTACTCTGTTAGTGTTTTTATATTCTGTATTACCTAAATACACCGGTTAGTTTTATATAACTACTACCTGTTATTGATCCTATGCTAACCTATCTAATTTCTTATGTATTTTCTCTATGTAAGTGATCATCTCTAATACTTAAAACTTGAAAAATCTTATCCGTTGATCGCACTTTAACTAATGAATCAGTTCTCGACTTCGACACCAGATTGGAATAGTTTTCATTCAACTGTTTTTACAGTTTCTCAATATATTGATCTGAATGTAAAATTTCCACTCTTAAATTTCCTTCATATCAAATTGCCTATTTAAAAACTATAAGGAAATGAATACAGGGTGTCAATGCGAAAACTTTTTGTCCTTTGATAACTTCATTTTAGAATAAAATATGGAACATGTGAAAATACAGCAATTGCAATTTCAAAAAATAGTTTCAGCCCTGGATATCGAACCTATCACGACAGGTAGACTAAGATTGGGAACTAAGTAGTCTCTTCGTAATATGATATAAATTTAAGAATTTCTCCAAGAACTATTTACATAAAAAATAATGCGTTGGTAACATTTCTTTGGTAATTCATTTGAGAGTTCATTTGCGTTTATTGAACGGTAGATCTTCATCTCTCAGAGCACAGACAGCTTTCTTTTTCACTATTTCACTTCTTTTCTGAAAAAATATCAAAGTGGCTCTTTTTAAAAGCCAAGTATTATTCACCAACGTTTTACGATTTATATAGGTAATTCAAGATTCACTTGTGCTGTTCGGTGTTACGACAATTTCAATAAGCGAATAACCTGCGGAACACATGCCGCGGTTCTTGAGGTTTTGTGTAAGGTCCAGTGAAAATCTCTCATAAAGTGGTACTTACTTGAACACGTTATAGATTTTCATCGAGTATCCGCTAATTCCTACCTTTCGTACTTCATAGATACATTTTTTGTAGAGAAGATATGATAGAAGAAGAATCCAGAACCGCCAGACCATGTCATTTCATCAAAGTTAATATTTTGAGAAAGTACGCTAATGTGTAGGAATTGAATATAGAAAAGTATCCTTGTTCATATGGGGATGACAACTGATGGCTTGAAAGTTAGCTATCTAACTTTTACAGATTTCAATAATCAATTTTTCATATTTTAATATCAGAACACTGCTAATAATCATGTCCAAAACAAGCAACACTACAACATTCCTGATGATGCGCGTCAAACCAACCACTCTGGTATCTTCAGAAGATGAAGAAGACTGATGCTTGTTTGAATTTATTCTACCGCAAGAGTTCCCGTTCTACCAAAAGAGAAATCATCTAGACTCTAGTGGATCGTGCTTTAGGGATCTGTAATACGAACGAAGGTCTCGAAAAGGAACTAGGCATCACCAAAAAAAATCTTAACGGAACGGTTACTCCAAAGTGATGGTAGGACAGATTTTGGCTAGAAGATATCAACAGCCTCACAAAGAAGAGAAGCCGTAACAACCAGTGCTCGCCCTTCAATACGTCAGAGGATTCTCGGAAAGGATAAGAAGAATTGGTTCAAGTACAACCTCAGAACCTGTTTCAGATCCGGAAACATCCATTGAAAGTATGTATTGCCTGGTACAAAATAAATACACAGCGAGGAGAAATCAGCAAACTGGGAATAGCAGGACATGTTTAGACTCAACATAACATCAAGTGGTCCCAAGCTGAGATCATCCACAGGGAGTAATACTGGTTTCAGAGGAAGTTTAAAGAAGCTGCATATATTTTATCCAACAACGCATTCACCCAAGCTAGCGTCGAGATACAAAACGTATGGAAATCTGTAATCAAGCGGAAAAACCGCCAACTCCCGCTTAACTGGTGAGAAGAAAGAGGAGATAGGTGAAAGCGTTGATATAATTGAAATTTTCAGCTATTCATTTAAATTTCATTTGTTCAAAGATTTCAAAAATCATATTATTAGATTCATATTAGACAATGAAAGTCTGAACTAGTAAAATTCACCATGAAACATTGTCCACCACTTTCAAAAAACCTGTTCTGATATTTGTCGCCTTGTGAACAAACTTTGAAATAAAAATCTATTTCGTTGGTAAATAGAAGACGTTTCCAAACTGCTAGTTAATTTGTAAATTACTCGGAGAACAGCATAGGTAATAATGAAAAATAATTGAATCAGATACTCTGATTGAGAACTTCGACTCGCAGTACAAGCATTAAGTCTTCTCTTCATCGGGTCCGGCACACGTTCAAAAATTCCTGGGGTGTTGTTGATGACATTAGGATTGGGCATAATTCTATTTTTCAAATCATTTTCGTCAACAACTGGTGTCGCTTACACAAGCGATTCAAGAAACCCCAAAAACGAATAATCCAGATGGTTCAAGTTAGTAGGCCTAGGTGGCCATGGTTTAGATTCCAGTAAGATATTCACGAGCGATTACACTGAAATGAACAGGTGCCGCGTTGTGTATAAACCACATAGTCACCTCTTACTAGCAAAGGTACATTCTCTAACAATTCTGGTAATGTGTCATCTAAAAATTGTCTATACGTCAAACCATCGAGTCGAGAAGGAAGAAAATGCGCCCAGACGTTCATCGAAAATGGCTTTTGAAATCAACTTTCTACAGTAGCATGGGGATTCTCGTAGGCCAAAGAGTAGTTAAGTGAATTGAACTTTAATAGTGAAATTGTTTTTTTTTGTTCAAATCTTTGAAGGAACCACTGTAAAAAATCTCATCGTCTTGGAAAATCCCGCGGTAACAGTGCCTGTACCCGTTGCTTGTGGAATGGATACAATAAATTTGTAAGCAAAACCTTCCAAACACGTCGATGACTGAACTGTGCAGCCAATTTTTGGGAACTCGTTGAAGAATTGCTGTCAACTTCTTGAAAAGTTGCTTCNTCATGTGTATGATATCTGATTCTTATTCCTCAACAAATATATTATTGGTGAAATATACCCAAAAGTGTAACACGGGTTTATTCTTTAGTGACAAATAACAGTAATTTTTTCATTAAAAGGTTTGTTTAGAGCAGTAGCCACGTCGAGTCGCGTCATTTCGTTTTCACATTGCCCAATTATTTCGGATGCTCAAATTGATGATTCGTATTGCCCCATGTGTATTCATTATAAAAACACTTTGTATTATCAAAATGTATTCAAATAGAACTTGCGTGTTTCTGAATTTATTGATGAAATATAATGAAATTTTTCTCAGGTGCAATGTATGTGTGAAGCTCTCCAACAAAGAGGCGATATTGAGAGGCTAGCAACCTTTCTTTGGTCTTTACCACCTTCGGAGCTTCTACGAGGAAATGAGAGTATCCTGAGGGCTAGGGCAGCAGTGGCATTTCACAGAGGGTCATATCATGAATTGTACTCTATTCTGGAATCACACGCTTTTCACATAAGGTGGCATCCAGAGTTGCAGACTCTTTGGTTTAAGGCTCATTATAACGAGGCGGAAAAAATCAGGGGTAGACCCTTAGGTAAGTTGTGGGAGATGTGAAAAATATTGTATATAATGTGTTTCCTGAATAAAGCTTCTAATTATTCCTAAACCTTAAGAAGTAAAACCTAATGAATGTATTCAAGAAACACTTTATTGTGAGATTTTCACTGCTCAATTTCACAGAAGGGCAGGCAACATGTGTTTTGCTTTACAATACCTTCTTTAGGCGTGTCTACACCCAAAGAAACACGTGTTGCGTTTTTTTGTGAAACTGTGTAGTGAAAAATAAGATAATTTTTATTGATCTTTTAGATGTATACAAATAAGATAGGTCACACATACATTATCACCCAAGAATGAATATTATACTGTTTCGCCCTTTATTTATGTTTCATTCAATAAGACAGCTATATACTCGTCAGTGGAATAAACACAATTTGAAATCAATAGATATTTCAGACACATTTTGAACAAGTATTGATTTAACTTTTTGACATGGGGAGGTAGAATATTGTATAAGTTGACATCGATAGAGTTTCTGCTTGACTTTTTCAGTCTGAATCTACTGGCCCTCAACAAATCACATCCTCTCGTCTCATGATCGTGAAAATCACAATTTCTGTTTGATGATGATTCATTTTTATGAATATATATCAGAAGTTGATACAGATAAATAGAAGGTACTGTCATTATTTTCATCGAAAGGAAATGAGGTCTACAGGAGTCTAAGAAACCAACCCCAGATATTATCCTTACGGCCTTTTTTTGTAACATAAATATCCTATTTGCGTTAGTACTATTTCCCCAGAGAATTATTTCATATGAGATGTGAGAATGGAAAGAAGCGTAGTAAGCTGATAATAGCGCCTGTTGAGAGATTATATCTTTCAATTTCCGAAGAAGAAATGTGTAGTTCGACAGTTTAATGCTAAGTTGTTTAATGTGCTCTAACTAGTTCAAATTATTATCTACATGTATGCCTAAGTAAGTTTAAAGAGGCCCGATAACCGAGCTTTGGGGAACTCTACATGTAACTGGTTTTAAGTCGGACACATTGTTCGAGTCAATTGACACAAATTGGTATCTGTTTGTCAGATATGAAGAAAAAAGAGACAGGGGGGTTTCCTCTCATGCCATAGTCATCTGATTTTTTCAGTAGAATAGAATGGGAGACGCAATCGAATGCTTTTGTTAGATCACATAAAGCAGCAATAGTGTGTTCTCCTTTTTCAAAGCAAGTTACTATGTTTTCGATTACTTTCTTTACCGCACTTATTGTGGAGGACGATTTCCTAAATCCAAATTGATTAGTGTTGAATAGCTTTTACTTATGAAAATACTCATGAAAATACTTATGAAAATACTCACAATGAAGTGTTTTTGAATACGTTCATCAAGTGTGGGTCGATTCCATCTGAGTAGTATGACACTATACTCTGTCCATCTAAGCAACAGAGTACTACAAATCTTTATCATGCATAGTGCACGTGATCTTCCAGACAAGGCTGCTTGTACAGGGTCGCACTAAGAAACAACCGATTTTTTTTATAATAAATTGCAGCTGAGTACAGGAATTTTTTTTAGGTGGAGTGTAGGGATAGAAATCAGCAGTTTCTTCAGCCGTTTCACTACTTGACATTATAAAACTTTTGAAATTTAAAATAACATATATGTACAGACTACAGGCATTAAAACGTAACTGACCACTCCAACAGTGTAACGATGAATTCCGGCAGCTGATTGCAGTTGAATCTGATTGGCAAGCGTGAGGAGGCTTGTGTCTTTAACCCAATAGATGCAAATGTGCGTGGTGATCATGCTTTGATCATGCATCTATCTTTGTTCGGTTTGCTATGTTTGTTGGATGGACATAGTTTAGTATTTACTATTACTTTTTCTTCCTTTCAAATGAATGTGCATTACACATCGATAATTCATTGGTATCCTCTTCACTAACAGATACAAACATTTCATCAATATACCTCATGCAAGATTTTTGGCTTTTCTATCAATTACGTTGATTTAAATGCAACTTGTGAAGAGGTAGGTAGTTTTTATTGCCTTCGAAATAATTCGTTTTGAGCATTATGAATATTTTTGATTACCACATTAGTAAGTGGAGGTGGTACGGATTATTTTTGCCAGTAAATAACCTCTTGAAAATGACATGAATATGATAATGGCATACTGATTTTTTTATTATCAATTTACAATCTTTTCGATGATTCAATTGGTAACAATTCAGATGTGGAAAAAAATGGAAAATGAAGATTCAATATAATCAGAAAAAAGTAATTTGATATGATCCCCCTCCCCTCAAAAAAAAACAGAAAACTTCAATTTATCTAGACGAAAAGTACCAACCCATAAGGAAAAGATTTTTGAGTTTTTGACCCACAATTTCAAATAAGATTGTTATTTGAGTTTTTTATGTATATTTTTTGTTATTTATGGGCTTCAAGTTTCGAAATACTGGAATATTTGAAAATAACTCGTAAAATGTTAGGTTAGGTTAGGTCCAAAGTGAGTGGGTCTATTTGACCCTCCACCGTAACCCGCAAGGGTTTATTGTGGCTCACATCTATTCACACTCGACCAAATAAACCCAGTTTCTCAACGAAGCCGCGATACCCTTCCCATATGAGGGTTTTTGCACGTCAGCTACACCTGACAATGCCTTAGATTCACCCGTGCAGGGCTTTTTCGCCTCTGGTTTTGGTGAATTATCACTTGAGCGCAAAAGTTTTGCTAACCTGCTCATGGGGGGTTTATTCCTCCACCTGAGACAGATTCTGCGTACGCTGCTCAAGAATTTGGTGCAAGGCGGTTTCATAAGGTACCCCGCTCTTGAGGAGACGACTCAGTCGTTTCCTGGCTGCACCACTAAACCTTTTTTTAGGTTCAGTTATTTTATCAGGAGTTGGAGAGTTGAGAAGCTCTCGCACCTGATCTAAATTTACAGGAAAGTCAGTTGGAGTCGTAAGCTCGACATCCATCTCCTCTGTAGGCTTAGTGTTGGAAAGAATTTTAAAGTTTACTCTGCCCATAAAAGTCCCACGAGTAGCTAGGGAAAGAAGGTCAATCACTCCAGAGCCCCGCATTACCGTGACAAGACGATGCTACGACGAGAGGGCGTCCGGTATTTTGAAGGTTCCGCAGAGGCAGCTGGGTCAGTGTCATTCATCCTCTCGGCACGGATATTAAGCCATCGTTGGGATGCCATTCTGTCATTCCCGTATCTAGCGGGGTTACGTGGAAGCAGGTATCCGATGGCCGGTTTGTTCAACCCTCTCATCCCAAGCCAGTGCACTCGCCAAAAACAGCATGCACAGTGGTTCAGGCAGTGAAAGATGAACAAAAACAGCCAATCCGCCTCGTAAAATGTACTATAATATGAAAATCTTCTACATTCAGTTCTTCTAACGAATGTTTGGTACTATCCCATTCATCCCATTAACTATTTTGATAACATATTCTTGGTACATTCTGGTTTCTTTCAACTAGTTTTGTTAATGGTTCTGAAAATTAACATCGTTCATACTGTTCTGAGTGTAGTTCACACTTCCAATCCACTAAGAATTATTACTGACAGTCAGATATGACTGGAATAAAATCCAGTTTGAGTTTAAAGTTTTTGGTATTAAACCAAATTTTAATTTTCATATTTTCTCAAACTCCATGAGATACGGGAGTGATATTGATCTGTCGGGACTGGTGAATCATTAATCAGACGGACACAGCTGCTTTTACAAATAATAAAATTTATTAATAACACCAACAAAGCGACAAACAGAAAATAACAGTGTAACCTCGTGGCGAGGATAAATGTGTTCAAAGTAACTTTCTCACTGACAAAAGGTCGAGTCATAAATTTATTCGAAAAGGATCAACCACTTGTGTGATTTCGTTCTAAATATCTATCTGTTTTTTAGGCAATAAATTTTCTTTTCGAGAGATGAGGGCATTTCACTGATATGCGATAAAAAAATATAAAAATGCTAAGTAAAAATTAAAATAAAAGAATTAACATAATAAACCCAAGCAGATGGATATTTTGGACGACTGCTCGCTAATAGAGTTATGAAACGTTAATTTCCTAACTACAATTTATAATACATAAATAAAAATCAATAACGAAATGAAATGTTTCTAAACTAAATAGTTGTAGGAAAAACTCTACAAATTCATTCTTGAAGTTAAAATGCCCTTTCAAAAGATTTCTTAAAACGTACCCCTTCTCATTAAAAAAAAGGATGAATGCCGCTCCCGATGAGGTATTGAAATTACAGTAAAGAAACTAATGCCCAAATATTTTTTTTACATTCACATACAAAACCGTGAACTCTTCTGGGCTGTTTTCAGTGAGCCACCCTGTATAAATACCTTGACTGAAGTAACAATTAAACTAAACTCACGGTTGAATCACTTACACACATTCTAAATTAATTTAGGTGCCGTCGATAAGTACAGGCTACGCAAGAAATACCCCTTACCAAAAACCATCTGGGACGGGGAGGAGACGGTGTATTGCTTTAAGGAGCGGAGCAGAAACGCCCTGAAAGATTGCTACTCTCGGAACAGATATCCGACACCGGACGAGAAGAGAGCACTGGCAAAAAGAACAGGTCTCACTCTCACACAAGTTTCGAATTGGTTCAAGAACAGGAGGCAGAGGGATCGAACGCCACAATCTAGACAGTGAGTATCTGCTTGTTATTGAAACACAAAAAAATCATTAACCTGAATCTAAATATTTTTTGTCTTTATTCCAGTCAACCTAGCATATATGCGATTCAATTTCATTGTATCTTACAGCTGACATCGAAGGTCAATTTCCATTCAGTTATTCAGACTTTCACAAGCCTAACATTGTGAAATACTAGGTTGTTTCAAAAGTTTTGTCCGTTTTAAGGTCATATGTTTTTGTAGCTACATATCTCAATAAATATTCATTCTACTGTGTTGTGGTACATAGTGATCGACAGAGATTTTGTACTCTATATATTGATGCTGTTCATTCTTTAATAATAATAATAAATGCTTTTATTGAAAGGTTACTCAGTACAAGGGATACTAATCTAACCTAACAAATGGAATATTAAACAGTTTAATCTTCCTCTTTGAAGATGATCACTTGGTAATCGAAACAAGTGTCGAGGTGTTAAAAATAACGATTTGGTGTTGGGAAAAAACTCCAGATTAAACAGTTTAATCTTTCTCTTTGAAGATGATAACTTTGTGATCGAAACACGTGTCGAGGTGTTAAAAATAACGACTTGGTGTTGGGAAAAAGTCCAGTAATATTCATTACTACACCAAAGGTTCCAAACAGTGTATCAAAAGTATGATTTATATACTCAAAGGAAAACTTTATTTACGTTTGTCTATCCTCAAGATCACATTTCATATATAAAATTTCTAATATCTTGCATTCCATTCCGTTTCAGAAAAAATGTCTCGATTTATCATACTGAATTTAAAAATTCCCAAGAATGTGAACGCCAAAACGTTTTTTGTTCTAGATTAATATCATTTAGATGAATAAACCTATACATTCAATTAAATTTTATTAGATGTAATGAATATGCATGGAATCTTCAACAATATTGATCTCCCTGTATTTGTAGAACATGTTAAAATTCTTGCGATTGATTTGGACCAATATGGACCTAGACTTGCAAATAAAAACGGACCATTTCTAATTGCTCAGAATGTGGAGCAAGCACGTGTGGAACATAACGAATATTAATGTTTTCGTGTAGAATAAAAATTAATGGCTATGAATGTAGGAGACTGTTTTATGGCGTCTTGTTTGGGACACTAAGTTATACTGTTATGAAATTAATTTCATTCATTTATATAATGAAACTACTTTTCTCATCCAGCAGTGGGGCTATTTCAATTCATAAGTGATTATTAGAGATAACAAAATCCGAGCTGATAGACCATGGTCGAACAGAAACTGTAGTACTTAATGTTTCGTTTGTAAGTGCGATGGACATCCTCAGTGCTTCGATAAGTTTGTTGTCGCTGGAATTGCAAAGGCTGCTTCTCAGAAGCTTGGAACACTGTTCCGAACCAGAAAACTGTACACACCTCAGAAACTTTTAATGCTTTATAAAGCTCAGATCAGATCTTTGGAGTATTGTTCTCATGTATGGAGCTCCGCCCTCCAAACATACCCCGAATCCATTTTTGTCCTTTATTTTTTCAATTCTGAAAAATATATTAAAATCAGCCATGCAACATTTTTATGGCAAATCAATTTTTTCAATTTTTAATAATATGTTGAATAATTTACTGCATTATTTCTTTTCATCTGGTTAAAATTATGAATATTGTCGGTACAGTTTCGGTAGGTGGGATTTGCCAAAATATTTTTTATTCCATAGAGAGACTCTTCTCAAATTCATTTTTACATAATTTTTAATGAAGGTGCTTCGATCATTCTTGCAAATTAAGAAACCAAGACGTAAAGTGGCCAAAATTAGTTTAAAATCAACCCAATTAGTTACTTAGAACATTATAAAGTATTATAAAGTAAAGTATAAGGCATTATAAAGTAATGATAATAGATTATTTAAAAAATATTTGCTGGTAATATTTACTATTTTAAATTATGAATCTACTGTCCCATTACTTGACGAAAATTATAATAACACTATCCAGTATAATAATTATGTAATTTTCACACTCTACATTTTATTCAAGACTCTTTTCACTACACGGTGGTTTCTTCAGTTGAACTGATACATCAAACTATCCCACAATGTATTTTATATGACTGTTGGTAATAACATAACTCAATTAGATAACTGACTGATTCTGGTAAAACAGATAGATTTGAAAAACATGTTTAATAATGGCGAGTGAATAATTCATTCTTGATCATTAAACAAATTGGAATGTTTGCCTTTATTGACATTATTGACAGAGATTTTCTGTATGTAATATGTCGTAATCCATGTTGAATTTGTGATAGTTTTTTAAAAGGTGGTAAGATTAGGCGGAATTGGTTTTCTTCAGTTGAAAACTTCTTCTATGTTCGAAGATTAACGTTCTGAAATAAATTGAAGTCTTTCCTATGTACACGCACGATCCACATGTTAATTTGTAGACATTTGATTTGTTATCTTTGTCTGTTTTTGACTTGTTTTTCTTTACGTCCACCCAAGGAGGTACCACTGTTGCTATGTTAATATTCTCTTTTTTTAGTAGTCTTTTTATTTCTCTCAAAAAATATTTATTCATTCATCAATTTCTATTTGGCACCTTCAAAGTTACCCTCACTACACTACACTACACTTGTGCCAGGGTTTTTTTCAATCATCGCAAAACCCCATCCTTTCATGGGTCTTTTCAATCTTGGGAGTAGTAAAAAGTCGCAGGGGCCAAATCTGGTGAAAACGGTTTCTGAGGCATAATTAATGTGTTGTTTTTGACCAAAAAATCTCAAACACGTAACGACGAGTGAGCAGGTGATTTATCGTGAAGCAAAAGCCTTGAATAACAGACATTTTCTTCGTATTGCTTCTCGCAAGCCGCGCACAACTTCAAGATAATACTCCTTATTAACAGTGAATGAAACCTTGACATTCGATCGAACTTGGCGTTCTTTTTGGTCTTGGCTCTTCCATTGAGACGATTGGACTTTGGAATCATGGCCATACATCCATGATTCGTCACCAATTATGACCCTTTTGAGCAAATCTGGTTCGTCGCTGACGTCATTCAATAATTCCTGAGCGATGCTCATGCGACGGTTTTTTTGGTAAAAATTGCAGCATCAGCTAACCGATATGCCAACATCATCAGCAACTTCTCTAACAACTTCTCCGTAACAATATTCTTCACTTTCTCATTATTATCATCGACTGTTGATGTGCTGTTTTTTGTCAAGGATGTGATGAATCATTTTCGGGTTAAAGTTATTGTTTACTGCAATTGGTTTGAAATGAAAATTCTCTGTGGACGTCAGGATATTGAATAGTCTGTGTATCTTGCCAGAAAATAATGGGTCACTACAAGATGGTTGTGACGATTACGATTCATCCTGCTTCAGTAAATAAAGAAATCCATATTCGAAGTGGTTTGAATATGATCATTAGATGATGAAAAAATAATTTTTTCAGCTTTGGCTTAGAGGAAAGTTGAGGTTCTCACAGCAGAATTCATTATATAAAAAAATTAATATGTATTGATAACAGTAGTTATTGTATAAACATGAATTTGTACTTGTGATGCACTGTTTAAAACCTTTGTTGCAGTAATGACTACTACTAGAGTTTTATCCCAACACCAATCCGTTATTTTCAACCCCTCGACACGTGTTTCAGTCAACAAGGGATCATCTTCAAGAAGAAGATTAAACTAAATGTACATAAAATGTAGTACTTATTTAAACCATAGATACGTCTGCTAGGTACCTGTGTTTTAATTGCCCTAAATCTATTTCACAATTTTGCCTTATCTACTGGTCTTAAATTAATTTTACAATGTTGTCTTATCAAATAGTGGACCAATACCTAATAGTATACTATTAGGTATTGGTACTATGTCTACTTATTTCCAAATTCTCATAGGCATCTAGATGCCTGCTGTTGTTAACTTATCTAACTTATCATAATGAGCTAAAGTCTATGGAATGGTTTTGTTTTAGGTGTGCTAAGTGTTACTTATATATGTTATTTCAATAGATCTTTTAGTCTGCTCATAATATTTTGCCTCGCATTCCTCAGATTTAATTTCGTTAACTCCAGACTTTTCCGAATTCTCGACTTTGTCCTTTGGATTTTCTAAAATGCTCCTGAATACATCGTATTCTAGCTTTTCACATTGGTTCCTCATTAGCAAAAAGTCAAGAGATGGAAGTTGTCCCTTATTTTCTAACTCATACGTGAATTTTATTGATGGAAATCTGTTATTTTAAAAAAAAGGAAACAAAGTCCTCAATATTCGATTTTTTGTTATCAAATATCGCAAAAACATCCACATATCTCAGTCATATGCTAGGGAAATCCTTTGACTTTTCTTTGGTTTCCATTTCGAATTTGCTCATGAACAGGTGTGCCAGGTAGGGGGACAAGGGATTACAACGAATGAATTTTTGTTTAGTAAAATTACAATAAATATTCAAAATTACGAGAACTTAATTAACAACAATAAATTGATAGGTGAAGCCAATACATGCTAGGAGACCATCATGAAAAATGAGAAATAAAACTTTTTCATTACTTTTATTTGTAACTAACGTTACTGCAGTTTCGTCCTATAAGAACATTTTCAAACTAATATTTATTGTATCAGTTTGAAAATATCCTTTTAGGACGAAACTATAGTGAGATAAAATCCTCTATTGAAATTGTTAATTATATCAATGCCATTATGGCCGTTTTTTCAGTACCTACACTTAATTCTGGTTATTCTCATTCCAATTGGAGATCAAAAATAACATCACTAAAGAAACATACTGAGGCTACCGTTCATCATATTATTATCAGTTTCATCTGACATAGGTCAGTCGGTAGCCAAGCGGTTCGGCGTGGGTGCTTTGTTCACTCACTCGAATTGACTGCTGTGTTGGTCGGTGGTTCAAGCCCTAGTCTGAACGATCGATCTTCACTTGCTACCGTCCAACCCGTGTTAGGAATCACACGTTAAAAGGTAAGACCTCGTTAATCCTTAGCTCGCACAAGTTTCGACTTCTGAGGGTTGTCGTTCGTAGGGGTGCGACAGCTGGTTAACGGAAAAACAGATTCTAAACAGATAGAAATCTGTGATACTGTGATACTTGACCATTCTTTACCATTCGAACAGGGCCTCACTTAACCCATTTTTCCGTTTGAAACAATATCTTTTCGAATACTTTCTGAACAAAAAAGTGTTTGTGATGAGTCTTCTAATAGAATCAAGAAAACGTTGATGATATACCTAAAATCGTAATCATTTCCTTTCAAATTATGGCATATAATTTATCAAATTCAAATTATCCATTAATTTTTTCCAGAGAACTGATGATTGGCAACATGTCGTTGAGTCAAAGCAACATGATGAATGCAATGGGTAATCACCAAGGAGGTTTGGATATGGCAGCGTTCCAAAGTGCTTCGAAGTTGTTTGACCCGAACTGTACGATAACTTCTTGTTATCCAGACTACCAAGTAGCATAGAATCTGAGTGTGGATTGTTGTTGTTATGATCAGATAAGAAATAATAAAATCGTTGGGCGTAGTATATTCGAACCTGTTTACTCAGAGGTTATGCTTTTTCTAAGACAAAACACAAGAACTACAGAAAAATCCTTAAGGCGCTCTCAGAGCGATGCTTGTGCGAAAGTAGCTATTCACATAGGATTTGAATCGCTGGAAATGAAATTCATTTGGAGAAACGTTCTCAGGAAGTTTATTCCACATAAACGCAGTTCTCCAAATGAAAGATTTCTTGAACAGTGAAGTTCGAGATTTACTGAGTTGAACCTCAAAACGATGAGCAGTCACAGTCAGTTGCGTATTTCTGATATGGAATCCAGCAACTTCAGGATATGTTTGGGGACGGAGAACAATAGTCCAAAGAAGGTCTGATCTGAGCTTTATAAAGCATCAAAAGTTGCTGAACAGTGTTCCGAACCAGAAAACTGTACAAACCTTAGCAAAGCAATATATGTCGTCAGCAAAGTCAGCAAAGTCCAATATGTCGTTGATATACAATAACAAAAGGGTTGGAAACAATATGAATTCCTGGGAAACACCAGCGTTGATGATGAAAGTATTCGAGAGATATCCATCGATGGCCACTTGTAGGAAACGGTCTTTCAGGAAGCTGAAGGGCCATACACAAAAGTGATCCGAAAAGCCATGGCATCGAATTATGGCCAGCAGCCAGCAAACCCTCATGCCACACGTGGTCAAAGGCCTTAGAAATATCAAGCGCAACAGCTCTTGACTCTCCATGTTTCTCGATTGCCTTATTCCAAATATGCGTAACATATGATAGAAGATCGCCTGTTAATTTTTGTTTCCGAAAGCCATTTTGATGATGGTTGAAAATGTTGACGCCTCCCAAATATTTGAGGATATGGTGGTTTACGGCTTTATCCATAATTTTTGACATCACTGATAGCAAAGTGACTGGTCTATACTTATTTAGGAAATTTTTCTTGACCTTTTTTGGAATAAACTGAACGCGGCAATCTTCCAACAAAAAGGAAAAATTAATTTTTTGTAAAACAGATTGAAAAGACTGCAAAATACTGGTGCGAGTTAATTTGCGCACTTTTTGAGTACGATGACGGGCACTTCATCATGACCAGATGCCTTGTTAATATTGAGCTGTTTCAAAACTCACCTGAAAGTAATTTCTGACGATTAGCTTGTATTAGTGGTGAAATTGTGGATTTTGTAAACTTCTGATTGACAGCTTTAGCTACCGACCAGAAGGATCTAGACCTTTTGGGATTGGCAAGCAGTTTATCCCTAATTCTCTGATTGTGGAATTGTTCGCTTTCATTTATCCTAAGTTTGCAGTTGCTGCGAGCATTAACAAACCTAGTTCGTTTTTCGGCGCATCAAAATAACATATAGGCTACAATTTACAAAGGTTTTGTGCAATTTTGGTCATAATATAACGATAAGTATTGAGTAAGTCGGAAAAATTCTTGCTCCCTGAGAGCTACATAGGCGTGCGCTGACTTTACCGTTGGAGTTACATGCAGATAATGTACCGTAAGATTGTTTATCTTAGTTCTAAATGAAAGTTCGCGATAGCATATATATACCGCTTATGTGGTAATACAATTGTCGTTTTAAGTATTTGATATAGATAAACTTTTTCCTCTACAGTAAGTATTTTGGACGCGTCGCGTCTAGTGTAAGACGACACGTGGGGGGTCGCTGCGCGGGGGTATAGGGGCGGTCTGAGCAATGGAGCGCCATCGTCGAGAACGCGACCTGAAACCTGAGGTTTTGGGTTGATACAAAAATATTGTAACTATTTGTTGAAAATGGTCTGTCACGATACTTAATATGACAAAACAAATTCTATGCGGGCGAAGCTGCAGGCAACAACTAGTCAATTATATTTTCTGTGAAGAGTCTTGGAGTGACATCTCCATGGTTCTCAACCTCATGAGGCAATTTAAACTCAAACGCAATCTTACGGGTAATGTCCGCTGGAGAATTAAGATGTAGCTTTCTAGTTTACTCAAAGGTTTCTTCTCATAATGGTATTAATGATTTTTACCATCGGTACTGGTATTTTCCAGCTACCTACAAGTCTCCAACTCTCCCTCATTATACGTCAACGACATATTAGGATTAAATTCAATAGATTGCTCTACTGATTACAACGCATATGTCTCGACTTCAACTTAGAAGCTTGGATATCAACTGGCAATGCATATTTTTGTAGATATCAAAAAATCTCACGTTATAAAAATGACTTAGATACCATAAGGTTGGTAGATTCTATTGGGAATTGGAAGAATATTTCTGATGGGGAAATATTTTAATAATAATTCATGTTACCTGATAGTGAGATAAAATCCTCTATTGGAATTGTTAATTATATCAATGCCATTATGGCCGTTTTTTCAGTACCAATATGTCGTAATCCATGTTGAATTTGTGATAGTTTTTTAAAAGGTGGTAAGATTAGGCGGAATTGGTTTTCTTCAGTTGAAAACTTCTTCTATGTAAAAAAAACAGTTAAGCCACTTGATAGAACACTTACGGCTTTTCATGAATATTTTCCTCTTCTAAAGACGTTTTTATAGCTGGTTCCTCTCTCAGTCTCAACAAATCTTCCTCTCTCCTCAACTTCTTATCGTCGAATGTATATTGATACTTCTCTTTATGGTTGGCATATGTGCTGTAAATTTTCTTCAAACTCCTCATATAACCGGTCCATGGAATGCTTTGAAGAAATTTTTCTAGTTCTGATAACTCACTGAAAATATGTTTACTCCTCATGAAAAGTGAATTAAGTTATATTATATTATATGAAAGTAGCTGTTTCAGGAGGGCTTTCTTCCAGTTTGTGTCTGAAAGTTGCTTCTTTGCATGATCTACATACACATCCATGTATAGAGTTACTCATTTTCAAATTGATTACTTCCTTCCTTTCTTTGGAAGATTCTCACATATTTGTGTATCAAGATGGAATAGTAGAAAGCCAAAAACTTTCTTTTCCAAAAATTAATCACTCCTAAAAAATATAACCCCTTCAATTTGAATTGAGTACTTGATAGACTCAACGGAAGAGTTGTAATCCCTTAAAATTTACTCCTAACCTTTATTTTTCACAGAGAACACTGCGATAGAAATTTCTCGATATTGTGCTATACAAATGAATTAAATTTTTTTTTGATCTTTTTTGATCTCCTATTTGATCTCCAATTCTGCTGATATATCATGGAATTGACCGATACTTGATGAAAATCCATAACTAACGTATTCAAAAAGACACTTTATTGTGAAATGTTTTTGTAAAATTATGTGTTACCTATTCTTCTACCACCAGTAGATTGAAATTATATCATTGTTGTTTTCCTTCACACCTAGCCAAAATTGGCATTACTAATTCTGATAAATGTTCATGTGATGAGAACTTATCAGTTGGAAATTTTAATCACATTTTTTTCGAATCTGTTAAGAAAGTCTGTTTTTTCGTTTTGTCGTTAACTATCTGTCGCCCTTCTACGAACGACTACTCTCAAAAGTCGAAACTTGTGCGAGCTACTTTTTAACATGTGATTTTTAACACAGGTTGGACGATAGGAAGTGAAAATCGATCGTCCGGCCTTGCGGTTCGAACCACCGGTTCACGCAGCGGTTGATTGAGTGAATGAAACAAACCACTTTTGAAGGAACACATCAAAGCTTCTCACAGAGTAAATTTCACTAAACATACAATTTTCCATTACTATCACTAGAAAAAAAAATTTTGACGCTATAATTAAATTCATGAAAAAATTCAAATTAAAAATATAGGGAAATGTCTGTCCATTTAAAATGTCTGTGGCAAATAGAATACATTCTAATGCCAACCCTCCTCCCCTATATGATTTTTTTTCATTTGCTCGTTTTTATATGGTCAAGTATGATTATGGCTGTAGTATTTTTTCGGTAGTTGTTTTTGTCGAGCGAATAATACAGGGTGAGTCAACAAGATTCCCCCGCTCCATTAGTATCTACGAAAACAATTTTTCGAATTGCTCGATTTTTGATCGCAGTCATATCGATAAATACTATCTTTAAAAATTATTTTGTCGCATACTGGGTGATTCAGGGGAGCGTGACCAACCAAAGTTATATTCATTAAACGGAACAACCAGTATATACATAAGTGTTTGGCTTTCTACTATTCCATCTTGATACAAAAAAGGATGAGGGAATCTTCCAAAGAAAGGAAGGAAGTAATCAATTTGAAAATAAGTAACTCTATAGATGGATGTATAGATCATGCAAAGAAGTAACTTTCAGACACAAACTGAAAGAAAGTCCTCCTGAAACAGCTACTTTCATATAAAGATTGAATTACACGAAAGAAAAAAATTCTTTCGAAACAAATACTTCTATATGAACACTGAATTATACAGAAGA